CCTCCTCCTGCTCCTTCCCCTCTCCTTCCTCCTGGCGAGTCGTTTCCATCGTCGAAGCCGTCGCCGCCGCCGCCATCCGAACACCGCCTCTTCCACCACGTGCCTGCAGAATAACATGCCGATATAAGGGTGAAAATTGCCTACGTGCTTGATTGCTTGCTTGCCTGAGGGGGGGATGGGAAGGAGGGGAGAGGAGGTGTATGTGTGTTGGGGGAAGGGAGGGAAGGGAGGGGAAGGGAGGGATGGTGGAGAAAGGTTAAATGTATAGCGTGAAGGTAAGGAGATAGAACGGGGAAAGAAAAAAAGTGAAAGAGAAAGAGAGAAGGAAAGAGAGAAAGATAGGTAGACAGATAGATAGAGAGAGAGAGAGAGATGGGGGGGAGGGGGAGAGGGCCAGGGAAAGAGAGAGAGAATGAGTAAGTGAGTGAGTGAGAGAGAGTGATAAACAGAGACAAGAAGAAAGACAGACAGGAGGAAAGATCCAAAGAGAGAGAAAAAAAAAGATAAAAGAGACAAAAGACAGACCCAGTCACAAATACAATAACAAAGACCCAGAGAAAAATACAGACCCAGAAAAAAGACAAAGAAAGACAGAATAAACCAAGAAGCGAACGAAAACGACAAAAAAAGGAGAAAAAAACAATCAATATTCTTCCCATAATCGAACGCGGGAATGCGGGCTGCTCGAAGTGTCATTCTTGAGCGAGAGAAAAGCAAGGCCTTGGAGAAACCGAGGAAGGGAAACGGACGCAAAATAGGAACAAAAGAGAAGGAAAAAAAAGGAGAAAAGGGGTAGAAAAGGAATAGACAAAAAATAGAAAAAAAGGTAGAAAAAGAAAAAGGAAAGAAAAAAAAGGAGAAAAAGACGAAAATAAGTAGGAAGAGAAAAAGAAAAGACGAGAAAGAAAAAAATAGGAAAAAAAATGAAAAAGGGTAGAAAAAGAACAGGAAAGACAAAAAGAAAAAAAAGAAAATAAGTAGAAAGAGAAAAGAAAAGACAAAGAAAGAGAAAACGAAAAAAAAAGAAGAAAAAGGTAGAAAAAAAGGCCGAAAATAACAAAAAACGGAAACCAAAAAAGAACAAAAAATATCAGGAAAGACAACCCATTCCTTTTTTATCAAATTTCCTTCTCGTTTATCACCCCTTTTTACACCGAGCAGTCAGCCAGGGAGAACGGCCGCTGTTCTCTCCTATAACGACCGATTCCGAAAACGGTTTGGGATGTGAAGGATTGCAGCGGTGTGCCAGTTGCAGACGTTTGGGAATAAAAAAAAAAAAATGAGCGAAAAAGCTGACATACATTTGTAAATTTATATGAATTCATAAAAATAATTGAGTTGAGTGAGTGAATGAGTGTTTCAGTGAGTGAGTGAGTAAGCGAGTGAGTGAGTGCGTGTGTAAATGTGTAATATAAATTCATAAAAAAAAAAAATTGAGTTGAGTGAGTGAGTGAGTGTAATAAAAATGTGAGTGAAAAAGCTTCCACACATTTGCAAATGTATATAAATTCATAAAAATAATTGAGTTGAGTGAGTGAATGAGTGTTTTTCAGTGAGTGAGTGTTAAGACGTTGGCAATAAAAAAAAGAGCTAAAAAGCTTCCACACATTTGCAAATGTATATAAATTCATAAAAAAAAAATTGAGTGAGTGAGTGTAATAAAAATGTGAGTGAAAAGCTGACATATATTTGTAAATGTATTTATTTCATAAAAATAAGTGAGTTGAGTGAGTAAATGAGTGTTTCAGTCAGTGAGTGAGTAAGCGAGTGAGTGTTAAGACGTTTGGTAATAAAAAAATGAGCTAAAAAAGCTTCCACACATTTGCAAATGTATATAAATTCATAAAAAAAAAAAATTGAGTGAGTGAGTGAGTGAGTGTAATAAAAATGTGAGTGAAAAAGCTGACACACATTTGTAAATTTATATAAAAATTCATAAGAATAATTGAGTTGAGTGAGTGAATGAGTGTTTCAGTGAGTGAATGAGAAAGCGAGTGAGTGTTAAGACGTTTGGTAATAAAAAAAATTGAGCGAAAAAAGCTTCCACACATTTGCAAATGTATATAAATTCATGAAAAAAAATAACTGAGTTGAGTGAGTGACATGAGTGTTTCAGTGAGTGAGTGAGTTGCGTGTGTGAATGTGTAATAAAAAAAAAAAATGAGTGAAAAAGCTGACATACATTTGTAAATTTATATGAATTGATCTAAGTGAGTGAGTGACTTGAGTGTGTGAGTGAGCGAGTGAGTGAGTGACTGAGAGTGTGAATGAGCGAGTGAGTGAATGTGTAATACAAAAATGAGTGAAAAAGCTGACATACATTTGTAAATTTATATAAATTCATAAAAAATAAGTGAGTTGAGTGAGTGACTGAGTGAGTTAGTGAGTGAGTGAGTCTATGTGCGTGCGTGAATGTGTAATAAAAATGTGAGTGAATGAGCTGACATACCTTTGTAAATCTATAAAAAATAATCTGAGTGAGAAGAGTGAGTGATGAGTGTGTGATTTTGTGAGTGTGTGAATGAGCGAGTGAGTGAACCAGTTACAGACGTATTGTAATAAAAAAAAGTGAGTGAAAAAGCTTACATACATTTGTAAAATTATATAAATTAATATAAGTGAGTAAGTGAGTGGGTGTGTGTGTGAGTTTGTGAGTGTGTGATTTTATGAGTGAATGAGTGAGTGAGTGAGTGAGTGTAATAAAAATGTGAGTGAAGAAAGCTTACATACATTTGTAAATTTATATATATTAATCTAGGTGAGAGCGTGAGTGAGTGAGGTGAGTGAGTGAGTGAGTGAGTGAGTGAGTGAGTGAGAGAGAGTGAGTGGGTAAGTGAGTGAGTGTGTGAGTTTGTGAGTTAATAAATTACTGAATCTTTTATTTCGATTTAACTGATTATCAATCTTGCTCTGCTTCTCTCACCTCTGTCTCTGTCTGTATGTCTGTCTCCCCCTCTCCATCTCTATTTCGCGTTTCCTCGTACACTTTTTATCTCTTCCTCTTTATCTATCTATCTATCTCGCACCCCCCCCCCCCCCCATCTCTCTCCCTCTCCCTCTCCTCTCCCTCTCCCTCTCTCCTCATCTCTATGGCTATCCGTCTACCTGTCTTTCTTTCCCTGTCTGTCTCTCTGTCTCTCTGTCTGACTGCTTCTCTCTCCCTCTCCCCCCCCTCTCTCCCTTTCTTTCTCTCAGGTTAAAATGAGTGAAATCTGGGCATGGTCGACCGAGTATAAAGAGGAGGCGAGCGTTGATAAATACCAGTTTTTACCTTTTCAAAAACATCACTTTGTTACAGTCGGGTCACTGTCCTCCCTCTCTCTCTCTCTCTCTCTTTCTCTCTGTCTGTCTGTCTGTCTGTCTCTCTTCTCTCTCTGTCTCTGTCTCTCTCTCTCTATCTCCCTATCCCCGTGTGTGTGTGCGTGTACATGTACGTGTGCGTGTGCATGTGCGTGTGCATGTACGCGTGCATGTACGTGTGCATGTACGTGTGCATGTGCGTGTATGCGTGTGCGTGCGAGTACTCACCCCTGTTCCCACGCAAATCCGCAGAGAAGTGTCACTCGCCTCGCAGCTGCAAAAAAGAGAGAAAAAATAACATTAAAAACACAGCAATCACTTCGATGACGTCATTATCAACATGATCACAAAACAAAACATAACAAACCCTGATCGATAATTTTAGAAACGATATCTTAAGTCGCGAACAAAAGAGATGACAAGAAAACATAAGACTGGATTTTTTTTTTTTCATCAGGTTTCAATAATCATCATCCTTGGCTATCTCATTAGCACCATTGCAATTGCCAACGGACATCAACATCAAAAAATCACAAAAATTATTTTCCTACTCACAACAACAACAACAACAACAACAACAAAAAATAACTCGAGCAAAAAAAAAAAAAAAAAAAAGTTATCATAAAAACTACAACTTTTATTACAAAATCAAGTTTAAAAAATTATAACTAACGATTCTGACAACAATACGAATGACAAACAAAACAGCAACAAACACCAAAATCAAGAATAACACTCACAACAACAACAACAACAATTCTAGAAAAAAAAGTTATGAACGAGAACAGATATCTTCGCAATAACAAGAGATGTATTTGACCGGTTTCAATATAGCTTCGTTAGAAAAAATATATATATATATATATATATTCAAATACATCTCATTTATCAACATGAATCCGGTTCAACAAATGTTCTAAAAATCACAACAATTCCGACAAAGAACACTGAACATTCTTTCCCCGTTGAGAACAATAGTTCTTAAACCGACAACACGAAAATAACAAATACACCAAAAAAGGTACAAATAAACACCCACTAAACACGACGAAAAGAACACCAATAACAGAACAATAACACGTGATAACAACAAATAACATTCAAAGAACACTCGAGCGGAGGAGGGGGAGGGTGGGCAGCAATGGGGGGGCGGAGGAGAGAGGAAAACAAGGGGGAGGGGGGAGGAGAGAGAAAAGGGGAGGGGAGGGTGAGTAGCAATGGGGGGGGGGTAAGTAGGAGAGAGAAGAGGGGGAGAAGGAGGTAGGAGAGAGGGAGAGAAGGTAGGAGAGGGGGGAGAAGGGGGTAGGAGGGAGAGAGGAGAGAACGATCGAGAACCGCGACATCAAAAAAACGTGATAGAGCAACACCGAGACCAACAAAAGTAAAATAAGAACACAATAACAAAGTGCAAATGAAAACCACAAACGAAGAAGAAGACGAAAAAGCAAAAGAAAACGAAGAAAAAAAGAAGAAGAAGATGAAGAAGAAAATGAGAAAAAAAGATGAAGAAGAAAAATAGATGAAGATAAATAAGAAAAAGATGAAGAAGGAAAAGAAGATGATGATGATAAAGAAGAAGAAGAAATAGCCCTCACGGCAAGCGAAAAACACCTTAAATGACTAATAAATTTTACCAATATCCTGTCTTCCTTGCTATTATTCACCGTTTATCTTATTCCCATTTCTACTCGTATTTTCGC